ATCTATCCACCTACCCACTAACCCACCCATCTGTCCACCTACCCACCCGCCTACCCATCTATCCACCTACCCACTAACCAACACATCTGTCCACCTACCCACTAACCCACCCATCTGTCCACCTACCCACCCGCCTACCCATCTATCCACCTACCCACTAACCCACCCATCTGTCCACCTACCCACCCGCCTACCCATCTATCCACCTACCCACTAACCCACACATCTGTCCACCTACCCACTAACCCACCCATCTATCCACCTACCACCCGCCTACCCATCTGTCCACCTACCCACCCGCCCACCCATCCATCCACCTACCCACTAACCCACCCATCTGTCCACCTACCCACCCGCCCACCCATCTATTCACCTACCCACTAACCCACCCATCTGTCCACCTACCCACCCGCCCACCCATCTATTCACCTACCCACTAACCCACCCATCTGTCCACCTACCCACCCGCCCACCCATCTATTCACCTACCCACTAACCCACCCATCTGCCCATTTACTCATCCTCATACCCACCTACCCACCTACCTACCCACAAACCCACTTGACTGTTCACCCACCCGTTCAATCATCCATCCACCTACCCACTCACCCAACCACTCTTCTACCTACCTGTCCACCCACCCATCTATTCACCTACTCACCCATTCACCCCCTCAAACTTCCACCCATCCACCCATTCATCCATCCAGGCACTCATTAATTTACTTAATTCATCACATTTTAACACCTTCCCAACCAAGCCCTCTGCTCCATGTCAGGATTACAACAGAGTGAATGAGAGCTAACACAGTTCTTACTCTTCAGAGTAACAATACCTGGGTTTACGCTGGACTGAGGGTTATTCCAAGTATGCATCTGTGTATCAACAAAAGGGCCACTCTGGCTTCAGAAACCTAGGAAACTGGGTTAGACACGCCCCAAGGTCCTACAGACGTGCCCCTGAGTTCGGGGCCTCTGGCCTTCACAGTGACGCCAGATGCCCCGCGGTCCCGGGGGAAAGGGAGCCAGCCGGAGGGGGCGTCTGAGGCCCTGCGGGTGTCGGCTCTGGACGCCTGTCTCACTGCGGCCGCCTCCCCTGTGCAGCGCTCAGCCGGCAAGCTCTGTTTCTGAGCGGTGAAGGCTCACTGCGGGATCATCGAAGGGACAGTGTCCCCTGCTCTCCCCATCGCTCTCACTTCCCCCTCAGGCCTGTGTTACAGCCCCAATCCTGCTCATGCGCCGTGGCCCCACGCTGCAGAAAGTGGAGTTTAGAAAGGGGGTCTTTTGACTCGACATCCTGGGGTGTACCAGGCTTGGGCTGGTCTCCAGCCCCCGGGGGGGTCCTGACAAGTCCTCCCGGCACAGTGAGATCTGAGCGAGGAAGGGCACGAGGCTCAGAATCAGGGTGCCAGGTGAATGCAGGGAGATGTTCCCACGGGGAGGAGAAAAGGGCTGTCCCAGGGCTGTCCCAGGGCTGTCTCAGGGCTGCGGCTCCAGGAGGGAGGGAGCAGCTCGGCACAGACTCGGCACAGCCGCTGGGACCCTGCGCACTGGAGGCCAGCCAGCCCCGGACTCAGGCCCCGGACTCAGGGCTCACCCGGCCAGGGGTGGAGTCTGCAGCTCTCGCAGACTGCAGGGCACACAGGGACCCACATGAGGACACACAGGGCTCAGGGAGCCCCCGGGCCCCCATTCCAGAACCTCAGAATGGAGACGACTTCATGGCAAGTCACATCCGCACTTCGTCCCAATGAATCCTCAGGCGTCTGGCAGCATTTGAAAGTGATGAAAATGGAACTTACAGAGTAACTCCAAAGACAGGATCCATTTAGCTTGTGGGGATGACCTGGGCAGGCTGGGAGGCATGGGCCCTCCCTGAGAGGCAAGGGCCGTCTTGCCAGGGTCGCCACAGCGAGGACCACCCATTGCCACGGCTGCCAGCTTCCAGGGCGCTGCGCTCAGCAGGCCCCCCGAGGCACCCTGCCCGAGTTGGCAGTTAGCATCTTCAGCTTCTGTCGCTTCATTTTTTATCACTCAATGTACTTATGAATAATACCGACTCCATCAGATGTATGGTCTATAATTTGCTGGCGTGCTGCTTTACTGAGGAGGGAAATTCCACTGGGTCTGGAATCTCAGCTTCCTGAAAATGAACTCGGACACAGAATGGGCAATTTTCAGCGAGAGCTATTATTGGCATGTTTGCAAAACTCATCTCTTCATAAGTATCCTGAGATTTAAAGAGCCTTATGCATTTTCTGATTACTCTAAAGAGTATGCGTGCCTATCAACACCATTGCCTCAAACCTCTGGACATCAGGATTCGTGCTTCTGCTCACTGTAGCAAGTGGTCTGCAAGATGGGAGCCACAGCCAACACTGTCCTGCATTAAGGGCCTAATTTCACCTCCTGAAAACAGCTCCATGGAATAGAGGCACTGCAAGCCCCCGGTGGAGACATGAGCAAAGGGGAGAGCTGGCTGGGGTCTGATGTTTTAAAAATATGGCCCGAAGTATAAACCGATGCTTGTCACTTGTTTCATGTAATTTATTAGAATGCAAGATCAAAAAAGTTGGTAATTACTATTTATGAGGGTCTCTTCTCCATAAAGTTGAATCAGCAAACATGATTGAGATGATGGTCCATTAGCCCCATGTACAGCTAAGCATCCCGCTGAAAAGAACAAAGCTGAGATAGAAATGCATTGTGTCAACGTCACTTTTGAGCACATTTCTTTTCTTTTCTTTCTTTTCTTTTTTTTTTTTTTTTTACATAGGAATCTCTGCCTAATGTTAGGAATTGAGAAATATGAGCTGGAAGACAGTCTCCTAGTTCCTCTAATTTGGATATCTTGCTAATACTTCAGTCAGCTAATAGCTGTCTTTGTAGCTTTAGGAGGAATTGCATGCCCGCCTCTGTGAGCGAGGGCACTTGAGCACCTGAACAAGCTCAGAGTCTTTAGAGCTGAGCATTCTGATGTTTTAGCAGATGCACCTACTGGACAGCGTTCCTGAAGGTACTTGGGAATGGATGGGAAGGTGATGAATGCGAAACGCTCAGACCCTCAGTCTGCTCCGTGTCGGCGTCTATCATCAGAGTCCACTCCCCGGGGAGATGGCCTCAGGTGTCACCACTCCCGGGAAAGAGCAGCTTAGTTATTTACTCAAAACTGGAGCCTGGGTGGGAGGCGCTGCTCCTGAGAACCCATGCAGCATCTTCTCCAAACTATCTGGAGGTCAAGGCCCAAGGAGCCAAAAAGAAGGTGGTCAGAAGTCCAGGTGGGGAGAAAGGAATAGGACCAAAAGGGACCAAGATGAAGCGATGAGGCCAGGCTGCTCTCAGAGGCTCTCTCGTTCTGGACGCTGCAGGCAGGATGGTGGCTGGAGTGATCCTGCCGGAGTGACCCAGCCAGAGGTGGCAGGGCCACCATTCTCTGTGCCAAGGGGGTGGGGGGCAGTCACTGCCCTTCCTACTGCCGGGATAAGGGACAGCCCAGGGCCAGGCACCTGGACCCACACCCAGCTGACTCTCTGCCCCACTCCCCTCAGCCAGCTGGCACTGATCTTGCCGAGTTAGAACACAGTCCAGAGAGGTCAGTGGCCAGAGAGGTGACCGCTGCAATGAGTCAGCAGTGTTACCTGGCCGTCAGTGGTGCCGATGCAGAGGGGAGGAGGAGGCCGGGTATTGCACATGGTGGGTGAGCAAGCTGTGGAGACCCTTGGAGAGCCAGGGGGGCCCCTCGTTTCTGGGAACACATGCTCTCCAGCACCACTGCAGCAAATCCAGGCTGTGCAGTGGGCCAATGCATGTGACCCTGTCTGACTTTCTGAGGAATAAGAAGCCACTGTCAGAAGACGCATCCTGTTTTCCAGAGACTTCCAAGGCCCCGCCAGAAATGAGTCTCATGGGAATTAGCATCAACCAGCCAATGGTCGTTCCCCCGGGCAGCCCATGGAAGCTGTCAGATAGGCAACTGACCGCCTGGAGCTCAGATTAAACTTTGGCGTGAAGAGAACACACGGGCAGGTGTCCTGACAGCAGCCAACACCTCAGGTGCACAAACAGAAGGGGTGGGGCCCCTTCCGCCTCTGGACCAAGGATGATGCTGTCAGGCCGACGGTGCCACACACGGCCCCACTCCCTGATTGCCGAGGGGCGGTGGGCTCCAGCACCCTCGCTGCCTCAGCAGCCAGGGAGCCAGGGGCCAGGCACGCAGGCCCCACAGCTGTTCATAGGTGCAGTTGAACAGTTCACGTTCAGATGCAGCGAGCTGTGTGATGCCAGCTCGAATCAGGGGCGTGCAGGGGCTGACTCCTACCTGGCTATCTTTTGTTGAGGATCTTTCCAAATGCCCTGGGCGTATGAGGCAATCTTAGTGTAATTAAAACCTGAATCGCTCAAATTACAGAATAAATTACATTCAGCTTCAATCGCAATTTCTAATTGATCCCAGTCTGCTGGATCTGCACCTGGAGACCTTGGTGATCCTGGGAGGGAGAGCAGGTGGCCCAAACTCCATTTTCATCTCAGAGAATATTTCTGGCAATCATGGTGGGTCCACGCACCCCACACCTATGCCCACAGCACACAACACATGCTGGGGTGCTGAGTGCCTGTAGGTCAAAGACACAGCTGGAAGACAAGCCAGAAGGCCAGAGACGTCATCTGTCTCTAAGCCCTGAGAGTCTGAGGAGAGCCCAGGGGGCCCCGGGGGGGGGGTGGACTCGTACCCGCGTCAGTAAGCAGGTCCTGGTTGTCTGCACCCGCTGGACATGCCTTCTCAGAAACGAGCCTAGTATCTCATGCCAGAACTCGGGAGGTAGAGAATAAAGAGGAACAACACTGCGAGAGTCAGGGTCTTGCCAAAACCACAGGGCATTTGCCATTGTGAGTGGCCTCATAGCTCCTGGAAGAATCTCCATCCCCTGACCAGGTTCATCAATCTGCCAAACTAGTGCTAGAAATCACTTTAACAAATGAGAGAACTGGTGTGTGAACCGCATGCGAAGTAGGGCAAGGTGGACATGGCAGAAGGCAGTGCAAACCTTCTTCACGGACGCAGCTGGCTCTGTTAGCGCTCGAGTATTTCGACGCCACTGCTTGTGTGGAGAAGCCTCTGCAGGAGCGTGCGTCCGGGGAGCATGCTTTGGCCTCCCCTGATGCCACAGTGCCAGGTCAGAGCACACCCTGTTCATGTGCGTTGAGAAAGGGGCCCTTTCCTCAATCGCACAAAGATGCTGTGTTCATTAGTGGTGGTCCTGACTTGTTAAAAACACCAGAGCCCAGAAAGTCAGATGGCACTGTTTGATGGGCACAGATGTCCGCACCCTTTGGGGTGGGTCCAGGGGAGGCTGAGACAGACGAGGGCCTGTGGGATGCTCCAGGGGAGGTGTGCAGGGCGCTCCCCGGCTCCCGAGTCCCTCGGGCCGCTCCACGGCCCCCTTTCCTTGTGCCTGGGGGGAGACGCAGCTGGTGGAAGAGTGAGAGGAGGTTCGGACAAGTAGGTGAAGAGGGAGTCAGAAGCCCCAGGAACAGGCTCTCGCGGTGCTGACCCAGGGTTCGGACAAGTAGGTGAAGAGGGAGTCAGAAGCCCCAGGAACAGGCTCTCGCGGTGCTGACCCAGGGAGCTCTTTCCATCTGAAAAGGGAAGACGGCTGAGTGGGAGCCACCCAGGATGGGACCAGCGGTCCCTGAGGATGATCAGCAGAACCTGAAAAAGAGCTAAACAGCTGGAGAGGGACGTCACACACCCCACCGCATTTGTTCTCAGGGTGCATGTCAGAGACTTGGAAATGGGAAGCTGGCTGGAGAGATGACCGAGGGCAGGGAGTCGGAGTTGGGAGGCTGCTGGGTGTGGTGCTAGGCAGGGTCTGCCCACGGCGGGGCCTCCCAGAGCTCTTGCTCCAGGCTTCCCAGGCCACAGGTTCTGTCTGCTCCACACACATGAGTGAAGGGGAAACTGATAAAAATCTGCAATGAAGCCAGCCATTCATGGAAGGAACAAAGGATGCGTGGTTGGCTTTCTTTTTAATCGTGTAAATAATCAGTGCCCTGCTGGGAAGAACACACACAGTAGATTAAATGAATTGGTAAATCTAAAAGTTCTTGGCAAGAACCTTTTAAGGATTCCTTGAATCTAGTCAAATAGAATCTTATGTTTAAAAATGGTTTAATATACTGATAACATAGAGAGCCACATGCTTTTATCATCTAAAAGAATAAAAAAGTGAAAGCGAAAGTCTCTCAGTCATGTCTGACTCTTTGCGATCCCAAGGACTATATAGTCCCTGCAATTCTCTAGGCCAGAATACTGGAGAGGGTAGTCTCTCCCTTCTCCAGGGGATCTTCCCAACCCAGGGATTGAACCCAGGTCTGCCACGTGGCATCGGACTCTTTACCAGCTGAGCCACAAGGGAAGACCAAGAATACTGGAGTGGGTAGCCTGTCCTTTCTCCAATGGATCTTCCAGACCCAGGAATTGAACTGGGTCTCCTGCATTGTAGGCAGATTCTTTACCAGCTGAGCTACCAGGGAAGCCCAAGAATAAGGCAAGGGTTTACTTTTATTTATGACTCAAAAGTGTATTTGACATGATGACGAGATATTATCCGAGAAAGTACCTCTATTTATTTGTGGGACTTCCCCAGTGGCTCAGTGGATAGAGAGTCCACCTTCAATGCATTAGACTCAGAAGACACTGGTTTGATTCCTTGGTCAGGAAGATCCCCCTGGAGAAGGAAATGGCAACCCACTCCAATATTCTTGCCTGGGAAATCCTGTGGACATGGGAGCCTGGCAGGTTACAGTCCATGGGGTGAGCTGGCTGGATCAAGGTTAACACCATGGGCCGTGTTGCAGCCACAGATGGGGAGAAGCAGAGCTGTCCGCCAGCTGCCCAGGACATGGGTCCACTGTGAGGTACGGTCCCAGCTTGGAGCATCTGGCCCAGAAACTAGCTGCCAAAACACAGCTTTTGGACAGGACCTCTCATTGGAGGTATTTCCCTTGTTACTTTCAGCAGGCGTTTGAGTGTTTTACTGATAGTCCCACGATTAGGATCTGGCCATGGTGCTAGTAGTAAAGAACCTGCCTGCCAATGCAGAGATGCAGGAAACCTGGGTTTGATCCCTGGGTCAGGAAGATCCCATGGAGGAGGGCATGGCAGCCCACTCCAGTATTCTGGCCTGGAGAATCCCAAGGACAGAGGAGCCTGGCGGGCTACAGTCCATGGGGTCGCAGAGAGTCGGACATGACTGAAGCGACTTGGCACAGCACAGCACAATTAGGGGGGTGATGAAGACCTCGGTGAAGTTCCGCAGCAGAAGGCTCATCAATTAATCTCTGCTCACCTATTCTGTGTGGTCTGCAAGGTAAGACAGGTGTCTTCCTGCCGCACAAGTTTGCAGGGAGAAAAATTTCACAGGGTATAAAAATATGCGGGCTGGATACAGCCTGATAAGGGCTGGTCATGAATAACATTAGCCAATAATTCAGCTGGAGACTGATCCTCCAGCCCGTCACCTCGGAGATGATTACACAGATAAAGGGAATTTTTCAAAATCTTTGAATAGTTCTACGTTAGTCTAAGCTTTCAGTGGGTGTGCCTTTCTTTTTCCCTTTGTGATTATTTACATTTGACTTTTTCTCCTTAAATCCAATACACCTTTTTCCTAAAATTGCTTATTTTTTAGCAGGATGCCGTGTGAGCCTGAGCTATCTCTGGCAAAGGCCTAGAATTTGAGGCAGACCCAAGTGAAGCTCCCCATGCCCAGCTTTCAGGTGGCTTGCCTCCAAGCCTACAGAGCTATGTAACTGCAGATTCTGGCTCTGAGCCTGGAAAAAAGTATAGGACACAAATAATTCCTGGTAGGAAGCAGGTTGCCTTTTTTTTTTTTTGGTTAAAGTTTAATGCCAGAGACTGTTCACTGTGGAAAGTTTATGTAAAGGATCTAAATAAAGCCTGGGAGAGGTGGGAATTCTTGTGGATTTAAATATCCCCATCCCCACACCTGCACACACACCTACACACACACACACCCGGACACCCACACACCACGCTGAGTCACTTCCACTGAGCCACATCAGTTGAAATGCGACCACCCCACTGGAGGTTGGGGGCAGAACAGGAGATCAGTAGCCAACAGCTTTGGACATGAGCCAGGCTTCCCTGGCAGCTCAGACAGTAAAGAATCCACCTGCAATGCAGGAGACGTGGGTTCGATCCCTGGGTGGAGAAGATCTCCTGGAGCAGGCAAAGGCTACCCACCCCAATATTCTTGCCTAAAGAATCCTATGGACAGCGGAGCCTGGCGGTCCATGGGGTCACAGTCAGACATGACTGAGTGATTAACACTTAACACTGGGTGTGGGGTTTAAGTGTGAGCTTTGGTCCCAGAAAGGCCTGGGGCTGAGCCCAAGCTTTGCTGTGTTCCAGAGATGTGACCCCGAGCATCAGTTTCCCCACTCCTGGGTTATCAGGATGATCCTAGGAGATGGATGAGTAGTTAGCATTTGGCAAATTCATGTTCATGAATTCATGTTCTCATGTTGTGGGAATTCAGAACATCTTGCTATGCTTCCTGGCATTCTGGTACTCTGCTGTGTGGAGGCACCTCATGTCTGAAGAGCCTGGGTGAGCAATTGTACTGGTATGCCAGCAACCGTCCCAGGAAAGCCTCAAACAGACCGGGATGGTTGGTCATGCTGTCTCCCTGACCTCCCTCCCTCCCAGCAAACCCAAACACACAATTCTCCTCACTCCTGGAATTTTACTGTAAGACTGTTAAAAACACGACTGGGAACAGAGACTTTGGGAATTGTCTGGTCCACTTTTTTGAGTAGCTTAAGACCAGGGATTATAATGGGTTATTCCCTATTAAATGTTTATGGCTGTTTAAAGTCTTTTAGATGCTAAGTAAACAAAGAGCTAATGTACTGACATCAAAGATCTCAAGAAATAACTTCCTCCTGTCTTATATGGGATTTTTATTTATCTTTTTTTTTCATGTGTAGTAAAAAAAAAAAAAAACCTTTAAAAATGACTGTACAAATATTTCCATTTATTTTCTTTCATTTAAAAAGGTTGCAAAAGAAATACTAAGCATTCTATCATCATATGCAAAAGGGTCGGACAAGACTGAGCGACTAAGTGTACATACCATCATATGTATATATCATTCTGTTATTGTTTTCCAGCAGCTACTAGCTGTGGTAAGCAGATTCCCCCCCACCAACAAGCACCCAAAGATGCTCACATCCGAGACCCCAGAACCTGAAGGTATGTTAGCTTACCTGGCAGAGGGGGAATTAAAGCTACTAGTGAGCTGATCTTATAATATGGGTGATGCCAGATCATCCAGATGTAGTCAAAATAGTCCTTAAACATGGGAGATGGAGGCAGCAACACAGATCAGAGAGGAGGCGTGGCAGCTGGAGTGGGGTCAGGTTGCCCAGTGACACGGTTGGCGTTGAAGATGCAGGGAGGGGCCCCAGCCAGAGGGTGCAGGTGCCTCTGGGAGGCAGAGGTGGTTAGGGGACAGATTCTCCCCTGGAGCCTGGATTTCAGCCCAGCCAGACTGTGCTGGACAGCTGACCCACAGACTGTGAGGTTGTAACTCCGTGTTGTATATGCCTCCATGTTTAAGGTCCTCTGTACAGCAGTGATGGACAACGGATACAGCAGCAGAAGGGATTTAACTTGGGTTTTTTTGTTTTTAACCAGCAGTCATTCATTTTGGAGGGCGAGAAAAGGAGTTGGCGCCTGTGCTTTATCTGCTCCCAGGAAGCCCACAGAGGAAATGGACCGACGCTGGATGATTGGGACCTTGAGAGACGGTTCTCACAGGTGCTGCTGGTTGGATGGATGGCTTCTCCATGGTAACGTGGGGGCCCAGCTGTGCATGTGGGGAGGTGTCCAGGTGGTCACTGAGCTGGCTGCTCCTGGAGGGTCCCTGGTAACCCTGCCTGTCACATGTGGCACCCAGAAAGTCCTTGTGGGGTCAGTTCCAGTGCAGGGAGGGGTAAGTGTGGGTGTGGAGTGGGTGCTGGGGGTCTGTGGACTGCTGCCAGGGGTCCACTCAAGGCAGGGATGGGCCTTGGGACAAGTCAGAGGTGCGGCAGGTGGCTGAGTGATGGGGTGTGTGGACTGGGAGGCTGGGGTGGGAGTCTGAGGACCTAGATGGGGACTAGGGTGGACCTACGACCCCTCCTCAGCTGGACACCCTGCTGGGGCTGCCGGGACCACCCCCGCTCCCTCCCTGATGCGGTGCCCAGGAGCTGCCCCGCTGAACCAAGTGGGTTCATGTGTCTTTTCTCTAAGCCCTGTTTCCACCACATCCACTGTGCAGAGGGCGCACTCAGGCAGAGGCCACGCGGACAGGGGAGGGCAGAGCCCAGCTCAGGCTCAGGTGCCTGGGTCTCAGAGCCTGCTCCCCTCCGCCCGGGCCAGCCCCGAGCAGTGAGCCCAGGGCTGTCTGCACGGCGCCCAGCTCTGCAGGAGTGCCCACTGCTCAGCGGCCCCTCCCGCCTCCCCCATCTGACTGCCAGCCACCCGGGCTCCCAGCTGCAGGGCCCCTGCCTTCCTGCCACCCTCTCTCTGCAGCCTGGGGTGCTGCCCCCGCTCCGTCTGTAGACCACCCATGGGTGAAGCCTTCAGGTCTGCAGCGGGGAATGGCCCGCTGCTCAGGACTGCCTGCTCTCAGATGCCCAGAGCGACTGCCACCGAGGCCCGCCTCCTCCGGCGGGGCCCATGGCGGCCGGCCTGTGGCTGGGTGGTTAGCTGGGAGAAAGTTAAGAAGGAAAACGCCGCTAAGAGTCGCCCAGTGTTCTAAGTGAGACAAACACGGGGCCTTGGCGAGTCGTTTGACCGAGACACGCCCTCCCTTCTCCACGAGGACCTGCCCGCGCGGTCCCGGCATCAGCTGTGGCCGCCACCTCAGGCCGCTGTCCTCTCCCTCACGAGGTGTCAGGCGTCAAGGTCAGAGTGTCTGTGCCACGGTCAGCGGCCGCCCTCTGCGAAGATGGAGGTGCTGGCCGCTCAGTCGTGTCTGACTCTGTGACCCCGCGGACGGTGGCCCACCAGCACCCCCGCCCATGGGGTCCTCCGGGCGAGACTACTGGAGTGAGCAGCCACCTCCTTCTCCAGAGGACCTTCCTGACCCCGGGATGGAAGCCAGGTCTCCCGTCGCGCAGGCAGATTCTCCACCCTCTGAGCCTCCAGGGAAGCCCCCGGTGGCGTCTGCGGGGAGCGGTTAATTGGTCCCTGTTCTACCTGCAGGGGCGGTTCCTGTTCTACCGCTTCAGGCGGCGGCTTCCGGAGGGGCTGAGGCGAGCTATGGACACCAGGTCTGATTTCACACACACACACACACACACACACACGGAAACAGGCGAGATGCTCACAAACACTGTCAGCTCATTTGAGCCCCTGTGGGTGCCATCTGCCCCAACTTGAGCGTCCAAGTCATAAACCACAGGGTCCTTCTCCTCCCGGCAGCTCCGCGGAGCTCACTGGACAGAGTTCCTGTTTCTCATGGAAAGTCACGAACATTCAGTCCGACTTTTCAGCGTGTGAGGGAGGACCGGTGCCCGTTTGGCGATATTTCTGCTCAGGAGAAGAGTGATCTCCCAGCCGCACCCCGGTGCTGGGGCAGGGGCACCGTGCGGGAGAGGAAACAGATTGGGGGCGATTTGCTGGGCAGAACCCTATGTAGGGTGTCTGGACGTCTTCCACCAACGCTCCATCTGAGCCCACACCGTGGGGTATATTGTCTGCAATGGTCTTGGTGTTAAAATTTCAAAATAAAATTCAAGGTTGTCTTTGCCATCTCCAGATTCATGAAAACACCAAGGAATTAAAATGAGGGTCAGAAGGGGAATGATCTCCTCCCCAGAGAGAGAAGGCGGCACCATGGGCACGGTTCTGCTGATGCTCAGACCCTCTGGTCAGAAGCTGAGGCCGTTGAGTTCCGCCCGCTCCTGGAGCCCGAAAAATCCCCCAGTCCACAGGGTCCGGGGAGGGTAGAGTGCTCCCTGCAGACTGAACCGGGTCCCCTGGCTGCAGGCGTCTCCACTGCCGGATACTCTGTTCATCGCCCTCTGCGTGCCAGGCTCTCTGGAAGCAAGTCCAGCCCACACTCTGGTTCAGAGACATAAGCCAACAGGTGGGGAAGAGATATGCCCCCTCCTTGGGGAGGGGTCCACATAGATTACTAAGAATTCTTCCCAAATGCTTCCATTTCTATCTCTTCTCTCCTGTTTATTTATCCAGTCTTTTTATATGATCACAGACTCACACATGTTCATTTCATTCTTTGGATTTTGATCCAGTACATCTGTATGCAATTCCTCCTTTCTTCCCAGACCTGGCTTCTAGGGGCTCTCTCTCTTGGTTGTGCTGTGTCCCCTTGACTTAACCTCTTCAGTGTGTGTGTCTGTGTGTGTGTGTGTACACGTGTTTGTGTGTGCACATGTGTGCATGTGCTCACGTGCGCACGTTTATGTGTGTGCACATGTGCATGTGCACATGAGTATGTGTGTGCATGAGTGTATGCATGTGTGAACATGTGTGGGCGTGCAAGTGCACATGTGCGTGCGTGTTTGTGTGTGTGCATGTGTATAAGTGTGTGTGTGTGTGCGTGTGTGTGTGCGTGTGTGTGGTGGAAGAAGTCATCATATCCTTACTTCTTGACCCTGCAGGCACTCCAGCACATCTCGCATGCTTCCCTCAGTGCTAGGAGCAGCGGCTTCTCTGAGAGTCTGGTCCCTTTATTGGAGAATTGTATTAGATACTGAGATCTGAGAGCTGCGTGCTCCTGCCGAAAGCACGGAGCATCTTTCCAATGGGTTAGAGTAACGGGAGTGCCATCACCAAAAACGTGTTTTAAATCAAAATACCCCGTAACTGTTTTCAGAGCCTGAAGTACAAGGATCCCTGCCTGGGCGATGGCAGAGGCAGGAATACAGGTTACGGTGGAAGGTTTCAAGCTCCCAAAGGTGCCTTTAGCTGCAGGGTCATCGTTCCCAACACTGAATTCTGCATCGCCTCTGGGGTTGTGAAGAGAGCACGCTGCTGACCCGGGTGCATGGTGCCCGTCTGGGAGCAGCCTCTCCAGCCTCGGCCCGAGATCCTCACCGCCCCACCCCGCCCCCACCCCGGCCACTTACCCGGGAGCACGTCCACCACCAGCTTTGGGCCGGGCGGGCACACATGGGGACAGCCTGGTGAAGGGACGCAGCCCTGGGCTCTGGAGGCACAGCCCAACGCGCAGGCACGCACAGGTGCCGTCCCCACACGCGCTGAGGCTTCAGCGTGCAAGTGCTCACCGCAGAGGCTGCGGGGCGGGGCGGGGGCTCAGCGGGGCCGGGAGGGCTGGCTCGGGAAGGCCTGTCTGTGGGAGGAGAGGACCGTGGGAAGGAGGGTTTCCCGGAGCAGAAATGCAGACAGAGCGCTGCAAAGAGGGGACGGGGAGGCTGGTGGGTTGGAGCCCAAGAGCCAGCCGGAGCTGGTGTGAGAGGGCGCTGGGGGTCGGGGGAGGGCTGCCCGTGTATGCTGTGCTGAGCCACTTCAGTCGTGTCAGACTCTGTGCGACTCGGGGCCCCTCTGTCCATGGGATTCTCTAGACAAGAAGACTGGAGTGGGTTGCCATGCCCTCTTCCAGGGGATCTTCCCAAACCAGGCATCAAACCCACATCTCTTACGTCTCCTGCATTGTCAGGTGGGTTCTTTACTACTGAACCACCAGGAAGTATAAAACCATGGCCACATCTCTCCATCTAGACTTTTAAATAAATAACTTGCACTTAAAGTCAGATCATCAACAGAAATTTTGAATTCAACCACAGTTTTAAAAGGACTTTTGTTTTGCCTTCATACGCAATTATCTTGGTTCAGAGTTTAATCAAAATGTAGAGGAATTCAATTATTTAAAAACCTCTGCATTTTGGGCTGCTCAGGGGATAGAAAATCTCATTTAAAATATCTAGCCTTAATAATATAAAATAAGACCATGCCAGTAATTACAAAAATCATATTTAGCAACTGGTTTAGTATATTTAATTTTTTTGTAAAGAAACATTTTCTTCATTTATTGCACTTTGGGGAAATGCTTGTCAGAGGCTAACAAAAAGACATTTCACTTCAAGACTGTTGCTGCCCTGATTCTGCAGATTGCGTTTCACTCAAAGAAAATAGTCTATGAATCAGAGGGTCCCCTTTTTGGAAACTGGGGTCTGCTTGCTACCTGAGTGTTGGGAGACAGTTTTCAAGACAGGGCAATGAGGAAAGCCTGCTGAGTAGAGCATCACACGCACACACACACGGCGGGTACACACACTTACACACACAGATACATACATAGCAGGCACATACATGTACACAAACACATATACACACACAGCAGGCACATACACGTACATAAACACACATATACACATGTAGCAGGCACACACATAAACACACACATACACATGCACACACACATACACACATATACAAACATACACACACACAAACACATGACCTCTAACTCTTCACCAATATGAGAGTAATATTTAAAATGGTACAGAAAAAATACATTTATACACTCTCATTTCTTTCAAACTTAAAAGTCTTAAGAGGTTTGGATTCTGAACTTCGTACAGTGGCGACAACCCGAGCCCAAGACACAGAAAACCAGCCGGAGCCCCCGCTGTTCCTGCAGCCCACACGTGCGTGTGCCCCGGCCCGCCGCCCACCCCACGCCGACTGCGGAGGCGCTGGCTGGGTGGAGTCGTCTTTAAGGCCGATGGATCAAGGCCATCCCAGAGGCACAACCAGGCCGGCAGGGCCCCGGCCTTCACTGAGGACAGAGGACGCAGCGAGGGGGATTTCCCTGGGGAGAGTGCTTCTAGGCCGTGACAGCCCAACAGCACCATCCGGGAAGACGGGGAAACCTGGGCCCGCCGGCTCAGAATCTCTGGGAAGGGACTCGGGCAGCAGCGTTTTAGGCGCCGGAGTGACTCCAAGTGCCGCCGACACGGCCCTGCTAATGGAGCCGGGGCTGGAGCTAAGCTGCGGGAGGAGGGGGTCGGCGTGGAAAGCGCTGGGTGGCAGAGCGCTGGAGAGGGAGACGCGGAGAGCGCCGAGGGCGGGCGGGGCGGCAGAGGCCGCCTGTGTCGGGGGCCCCGGAGGCGGCGGCCCCTCCCAGGAGGGCGGGGCCAGGAGCCCGCAGCCTCCGGAGGCGGTGGCTCCTCCCAGGAGGGCGGGGCCAGGAGCCCGCAGCCTCCCTCTGGGGAGGGGCTGCAGGAGTTCCGGGGGCTCGGGAGGCGGCGGCCCCTCCCAGGAGGGCGGGGCCAGGAGCCCGCAGCCTCCGGAGGCGGTGGCTCCTCCCAGGAGGGCGGGGCCAGGAGCCCGCAGCCTCCCTCTGGGGAGGGGCTGCAGGAGTTCCGGGGGCTCGGGAGGCGGCGGCCCCTCCCAGGAGGGCGGGGCCAGGAGCCCGCAGCCTCCGGAGGCGGTGGCTCCTCCCAGGAGGGCGGGGCCAGGAGCCCGCAGCCTCCCTCTGGGGAGGGGCTGCAGGAGTTCCGGGGGCCCCGGGTCCACTGCTCCCGGGCTCAGGCAGCGACCTGCCCTCGGGGGAAGCCCTCTCCCTGGAGCCTCTGCACGTGGTAGCGTCAGTCGCGGCCACTGTCCTGAATCCCGCGTCAGGACCTCGGGGCCCCTCACTGGCCCACGCAGCTCACCTCCCTGGCATCCCTTGGGCCGGGACAAGCTCAGCTCCCGGACGGCCCTGGCAGGCCCTGCTGCACACGGATGCTTGCGACTCTGAGGTCTCTTGGCAGTCTCGCTGTGCTGAGGAGGAAAACAGGAGCCTGAGATGAGGGTTCCGCCGCGCTTGGCGAAAGCTTGGGTGGGTCAGCCACCTGGGTCAGCTGACGTAGAGCCGGAGGATGAAAGTCCTGGAGCAGAGAGAGAGCGTGGTGAAAACAGTGGGAACGCAGTGCCTGCTTCGTGGGGGGCAAGGCCCTTGCAGAGGGGCATCGGTGCTGCCCCCCGAGATCCCCTTGACCGTCATCCCAGCCCTTCTGGGAGGCGCCATGATTGTCGAGGGGCTGAAGTGAAAGGGTGTCTGGTGCGGGGACTGGACGGGCCAGACGGCTGCAAATGTCCAGGCAGAGGGACGGGGCGTCTTTGGTTCCTAGCCGTCGGCCGAGATGCGCAGGGTCAGAAGGACCTGCCGAGGGTCTGGGGACCTGGGAACCCCGCTCCCGCGCTGGCATCAGTGCAGTTCACTCTTCCACCCTGACAACCACGTGCACGTTCCCCAGGAGGGCCTGACCGCAAGTCCAGGGGCAAGGATAGATGCTGCGTGCTGCTTAAGTTTTGGAAACTGTGTGTTAAAAAATAAATCTGTAGTTTTCTTTGTGGCAAAACGTTCTACAGCTAATAAGGCATTTTAGATTCCTAAGAGGGAAATCCTATAAAGAACCTCCTGGATTTAGATGTCCACCATCCACAAACCTCTGTTTTTTATTTTTATTTTTCCTTCAACTCATCTCTTGGGATCAGTTTGTAGAAAACACATTTTGGAAAATATAGCTGCATACCAATTTTAGCTCCAATGCAAAAAAAAAAAAAGTAGGCAATATTGCTTTCAAAGAATGGGAATTTATAAAGATGAATTAAATAGAAATGTTAGGGCTGAAAAAGTATTAACTGAAATGAAGGATTTGTTGGGTGGGCATAACAGCGATTTCAAAGTGCAGAAGAATGCATTTGGAAACCAGAAGCCAGGTCAAAAGGGCATACTTAAACTGAAGCACAGTGACAAAGATTCAGAGAAAATATAGCAAAATTCAACATGCTGTAAAGCTCTCAGATATCTACAAGTGGAGCCCCAGGATGAGAAGATAGCAGACATGGGAAGAGACAAAATGCAGTGAGTGATGGATAAGACTTTTCCGAGATAGGAAAAGGGATCCTGGAAACTGAGGTGGCTGAAATTCACAGGGCAGAGCCCTCCTGGCAGAGCATTTCTTTCTGGATAGAGAGCTCCAGAATGTGCTCTGGGGTCCCCTTGAGTCTTTGCCTGACCATTAAACTTGGGGTGTACTAAGTCTGGTCTCTGAGGGCCCATGTGGAACAGATCCTAAGCTCTCAAGGCATGTCGCCTCCAACTATAGGACCCAAAAGGCTACACTGAACACTCACTGGTCTCATTAGAGACCCAGAAGAGCCATCCATCAGAAGTAGCTACAGCTGACCTGCTCTGAAATAGCATAAAGTCAAACAAATTACAGAAGAACTGATGCATCGCTCACTCTTTCCTCATTGCCTACACAAACCATAGCTTGAAACAGAACAGACCAAAGGGTAAAAGGCAAAGCTATAAAATTCCTAGAAGAACAGAGGAGAAAGCCTTGAATTAGACAAAGATGTCTTATTCATACTTAATCATAAGTGAAAGGAATTGATCAATTGGTCTTAAAAAAAAAAACAACAAAACTTCTACCCTTTGTCTAATACTATGAAAACAAGAAAAAGGAAGCCACAGATTAGGAGAGAATACTTACAGTACATGTACTTGGGGGAAAACCTTGTTTTCAGCACATAGCAAGGGGCATCAGAAGATAAGGGCGGTGACTGGCATACTAGCCGGCTTGGGCCGCTGTAACAGTGGCACAGTTGGGGCGGCTTAGACAACACGCATCCATTCCCCACGGGCCTGGAGTCTGAAAGAGGGGCCAGCTGCCAGCGGGTCTGGTTCCGGGAGAAGGACGTCTTCCTGGTTTACAGGTGGCATGGCCTCCTCCACGCTTGCCTCACAGGTGCAGAGAGAACTCTTGTCCTTCCCCCACTTATAGGGGCACCCACCCTGCGTGAGGCCCCATTCTGTCCCCGAGGTTCCCCTCCAAACACTGTCACCATGGGATTTAGACTTCAACATGCGGATTTGGGGGGTGGGGGACAAATACTCAGTCTGTAGCAACCTAACTAAAAACAGGCAGATGCAGGTATTTCTCAGCAGGTGTTTGGAGGACGAATCAACCCAGAGAAGACTTAACGTCAGAAATGAGAGTCACCAGAAATGAGAATTTAAAACACAACAAGCACTTTCCGTGCAATTTTTGCTGCAAATCTAAAACTGCTCTTTAGAAGTCCACCCAAAACAAAACCCACAATGAACTACCATTATCCACTCCTGAAAAAGCTAAAACATGTTGTTAATGATGACACTCAGTAAAGTAAAAACCTGGAAGATCAAGAAATCCATCCTTGGGAGTTTGGGAGCATAAGACCTGACAGCCTGGTTGGAAAACACTTTAGCAATTTCTGTACGAAGTTAAACACACATTCACCATATTACCCAGCAATCCCTCTCCTGTGCATCTGCTTAAGAGAAAAGAAAATCTGAGCTCAGGTAAGGTGCATTCACTAATGTCCACGTCAGCTTCACTCCAAATAGTGTAAAACCAGAAATGGCCTCAAGGTTCCCAATAGAACACAACAGTTAAACATTTTTTTGTAATATTCATAATACAATGGAGTGATACTCAGCAATAGAAGTGAATAAAGTACCAATTCACATGACAACATGAATGAATAGCAACAACATGCTTCTCAACAAAACGAAGCCAGGAACAATACAGCACATACTGCATAATTGCTCTTATTTGAAAATGAAATTCTAGAACAGTGAAACCAAGCTATAGAGAGAGATGAGTCAGTCAGCAGTTGCCTCAACATAGGGGTGTGAAACTTGACCAGAGGAAGCATCATGGTCTTTTAAAGGTGATGAAAATGTGTATTTGTCAAAACTCATCCAACTATTCACTTAGAAAAAGTATATTTTATAACATGTAAATTACACTTTGATAAACTTAAGATACGGCATTGTACCACTATACACGCAATAAAATTGTTAAAATTGAAACAGTAGATAATATTGAGTGAGGAAACCTCTAGTTGCTCTAGCAACTGGAACTCTTATATGCTGCTAGGAGGAAGGGAAATTGTAACGACTGTTTTAGAAATTTGTGTGGTAGTTCTACGACACTGGAAACCCCATATAACTGAGCGATTCCCTCCCCAGGAAAGGATCCAACAGAAATTCGTACACAGACTCAACAAAGGGCATGGGCTGTAATATTCATGACGGTATTACTGGCTTCAGCACCAAACGGAAGTGGTCTAGATGCCCATCCGTAGTGACGAGCGTCACAACAGGGCATCATGCGGCACTTAACACGGATGAATTGGGCTACATGGGTGGCGTGAGCAAGCATCAGAAACCCTACCTACGGCTGCAAGGTAAACACACACACACTGTGACTCCAGTTGTGCAGAGCCTCAGACTCGGCAGGTGGGCTCTGATGTCGCCGGTCAGTATCAGGTTCTCCTGGGGGAGGCGAGTGTGGGGACAGGAAGTGGACTCTGGGACGCAGCGTAGCAGCAGGGGCTTCTGTAAGTGTGGTGATGACTGTTCCTTGATCTGGTTGAGGTTAAACAAACCGTCCATTTTGTGAATGCTCCTCACTCCATACTTTTATGATGTGCGAATTGTTCTGAATGCTTAATATATTTAATAAAATTTATGTAGAATGTCACCAAAAACCCTATGAAAATATATAAATGTGCCAATAGAATAATGGTCAGACTATTTTACTGGAATTCAAGAAATACATATGGGACTGAAAATGGATCAGCCTAGCTGGATGGGGAGAGAGCGCTGTAGGTCATAGGATCCCAGGGATGTGACTGGAACTGCAGAAATGCCTGTGATCCTGATGGGCCTTTGATGGATCTGATCATCAGTGCATTTTTTTTTTTTGGTAGAACAATCTGGCATGCTTGTTTGCATGTGTGCTCTTGTATATGAAAAAAAAGTCATGATTGATACTGAAAGCTTTGTAAGTATTCCCAAGACCCTGTGTGGGGAGAGACACCTTTTATTGTTTTATCCAGTGCATATCAGGTATTAGCAGCTGTTTTACCTATTCATTTATAATAAACTAAATAAGTTTAGCAAAGGGAATGGACATGTCGCCCCCCAAAATCAGCAGCTCGCTGTTCCGTCACTTAGAGAAAGTGGTAGAAACTCAGGGCTTGAACATACTAAGGATGAGTCTCTGCAGACGTGAGCTGGGAGGGCGGCAGACAGTGAGCGGAGGGCTGGGCGAGGGGCCGCCTCGCCTGCTCGATGGGCCGGCCGCGGCTCGACGTGGCCATCTGTTACATTATTTGATAGAATGTGCTCTGAAAGCTTAATTCTATGCCTCACAAAATGATGGGCTTTTCAAGTTTTTTTCAGAAAGTTTATTTGAAAATAGCCCATGAAGAAAAACAGGTGATCTGGCATGCCACTTGTCCCTTTTTGCTACAGAATACCATTTATTCCAAATTAGTGATGTTGAATACTGTTAAAGAGAAGGAAGCACAGCCCTGTCAACAGCTAGAGAGAAGTGGGCTTGGAAACCCAAACGCCTGACAAGATTGTGCTGCGAAGGGAGGGCCCCGGGGGCGGGGGCACACTCACACCCAGCAGGCGGCACGGCAGGGAAGGGGGCGGCGGCCAGCACCCTGGACAGAGCTCGCTGCCTCCGCCTCGGGCTTCTCTGTTCACGGTAATTAAACGCCTGAGAGGAGACAGGGCGTCTGTCTTTAATCCTGTGACAACTCTTTTTTTATTGACGTATAGTTGGTTTACAATGTTGTATTAGCTTCTGCTGTGCAACACAGTGATTTAATTATCTATATATGTTTGTATACATACATATGTACATACATGTATATTTTTTTCTAATATTCCTTTTCGTTACAGTTTATCCCAGGATATTGAATACAATTCCCTGTGCTATCAAGCAGGACCTTGTTCTTAATCTGCTGCGTGCAGAGGAGTTTGTATTTGCTAACCCCGAACTCCCAGTCCTCCCCCCCCCCCCCCGCCCCTCCCCCTTGGAGAACACAAGATCAGTCTCTGTGTCTGCAAGTCTGTTTCTGTTTTGTGGAACGGTGCTTATGCATCAGGTTTCAGATTCCCCGTGTAAGTGACATCATACAGTGTCTGTCCTTTTCTTACTTATTTCACTTAGCGTGATGATGTCCAGGTCCATCCATGTTGGTGCACATGGCTTTATTTTGTTCTTTTTTATGCCTGAGTAACAGTCCATTGTATATATGTACCCCATCTTTTTTATCCATTCATCTGTCCATGGACATAGTGGTTGCTTCCATTTCTTAGCTATTGTGAGCACTTGCTATGAATATAGGGGTGCTTGTATCTTCTTGAATTATAGTTTTGCCTATGGCAATGTTTTAAATGAAGAGATTGGAGCTCACTCAATTAAGTCACTCAGTTATGTGAAGCAGCTTAGTTCAGACATCACTAACTCTAACTTCAAATGCTCAAGCTCCGTGTTTCTGCCTCTGCTAAATTGCTAAGTTGCTTCAGTCATGTCCAACTCTCTGTGACCCCTTAGAGAGTAGTGTGCCAAGTTCCTCTGCCCATGGGGCTTTCCAGGCAAAAATACTTGAGTGGGTTGCCATTTCCTTCTCCAGGGATCTTCCCAATCCAGGGATCAAACCCGGGTCTCTTAAACCTCCTGCACTGGCAGGCAGGTTCCTCACCACTAGTGCCAACTGGGAAGCTCCTGGGGAGTTTCTGCCTCTACTTCATGCTGGTTTTTTTTTTTAAAGACTTTCCATTTTTATTTTTCAAATGTTACAATTACCTGGCAAAGCAGAAGACCCAATTTTCCTACTTAATTAAATGTTTGGCTTTTGTTAAGGTTGCTAAGTGTTTGGTGGTAGCCTAATTACACTGCAACTTCCCTATTTCACACTAAAGAGAAGGCTCTAGAACCCTCTCGTCACAGATGTCAGGAGGGGTGCTCTTCACTTTGCCTCCCCCAAACACACACACACACACACGCACACACGCACACACACACGCACACACACACACAGCCATCCCAGCTGAGTGACAGAAGCCCTCGATGTCCAGTTCTGACTTATGCAACACAGCACAACACACAGCTGATTGCCCAGGAGGGGGAGAAATCCCGTAGTAAATGAGGCAGCTTACTTTGGAAAAATGATCATTCCAATCATGAAGGAGTAAAACGTGAAAGACGTTTAAAACTCCTGTGTAGAACTAACTTTCACACAGCACTCGCTTTGCGAACCACACACAGAAAATTATCCAGAGCAGGAGCGATAATTTAACTTACACGTCAGAAACGCAGCCAAGAAAACACGCAACAGCTTGAGAATGTGGTGCTGCCAAGTAGCAGGACTCAAAGATTCATTTCAACTCTGGAAAGAAAATATTTCCCCTCCCCATCCTGCAGGGCCCAGAAGGAAAGCCTTGGGATGCCCGTGGGCTGTGGGGGAGGCGACAGTCAGCACGGGGTCCCTGACTTGCCCTCGGAAGGCGCCAGGGGCGGCGGTGCTGGGCTGTGAGCCGCCCCTGGCAGCCATGGTCCAGAGAGGGAGGGGCCCCAGGAGGGCCACAAGCTGTGTCCAGGGGGCAAGTGTCATCTGCCGCCTGGGCTCCGAAGCTGCAGGAACACTCTGCTCCCTCTACCAACAGAGCCAGCGAGGCAGCCCCGCCGCTCAGAAAGCAGAGTTTGGCTCACAGACTCTGCACCTAGAAAAGTCAGTTCTCAGGAGCAGGGCCACGCCTGGCTCACTTTCAGGTCCCTGGCACCTAATAGGTGCTGACTGATGTCTCTCAGCTAAACACAGGTAATGATGCTGCTCACAGCAACAGGACAAGAGCCTCCACCAGGCATGCACGTTAGAGGGATGCTCGGTTATTCTGAGAAGCATCAGGGTGTTGGCTGCTCCTGTCTGGAGTGTTCAGACAGACACCACTAGAAAGGTGCATCTGACCTGGATCTTGAAGGAGGAATCAGACAGTGGATGACAGAGAAAGGGTGCAGGCTGGCCACCTGTGGGAGCTCCCTGCGGGGACTCAGTACAGGGCGGGTGGTGGGGGAGGGCCAGGAAGGACCCCAGAGGGACATCCGGACAGGGAGTGGGTGCACAGGCAATGTCGAAGGTGCTCAGAAGGCATCAGACCCTGCTGAGCTGTGCCGTGACCTCACACGTGAGGTGCTGTTTGGATAGAAGTGACTCTAGTTTAGAGGTCACGCAGAACGGGATGTGCAGAGAGAGGCCCACAGCGGGGAGCCCTGGGAGAATCCAGTTGCTGTCTCTAGCTTGGACGTACAGGGAGCCAGATGGAAGTGGTGGGTGAGACACTGATGGGTGGTTCAGGATCCAGGGGTGAATTAGATGGGCGAGAGGTGGGTGACTTGGGCCACGTGTGCAGACATGATGGTGTTGAAATGTCTGGAGGAGGCATTTAGGAGGCTGTGGGGTCTTGATCAAAGTAGGAATTCAGGAGGAAACACGTTTAGGGTTCTGGAAAGAAGATAATGGCTCTGGGCATGGTCTGCAGGTGTCGGCTATGCAGCGGGGGCCCAGCAGAGCCTGGGGAGCTGAGGGGGTCGGGAGGTCAGAGCTGTTTTGGGGACGATGTACGTGAGGTCACTCGGGAAAAGATACATCATGGAGAAAGGTGGATGGATTTGAGAACCAGCCACTGGGAAAGGGCAGGCTGGGAGAGACCATGTAGCCTGTCCTGAGGTTTGAGAAGAGTCTGGAAACTTGGGACCCCAGGAGAGGAGAGGATCCAGGGAGAGGGAACTTGGTGAGGCAGACAGAGAGGCAAAGTGAGCAGGTAGAGAAAGGCCATCAGCTGTGCTCACGCTGGGGATAGAGTTTGCCAGGACCCCACCAGACAAGGCAGATGCCAGAGATGAAAAATGTGGAATGTTCCTCCATGTCTTTCTGTCTGGAATCAGAGATTAGGGGCTCAAAACATTTTGAAAGAGCGAATACAGGAATGAGCCTCACTTTCCTGTAAGACTGAGAAGCCGAATAATCTGTCAAAGGGCTTAAAATGATACCCAGCACAAATCAGCACCAGCTTGAATGATGTTCTGTTGTTTCATTTGTCAAGAAAGTAATCTTGAACAAATATCACCATTAAAACTCCCAAGACCACTTCCCCAGAGCTTTACCATCTGAGAATCAGGAAAGCCAGGGACTCCCTCCACGACGGCGCCCCAGCCAGTGAACATCATGGGTCCAGTTGGTCTTGAGTGCAGGGCTCTGGAGCCCCATCATTCCTTGGGCCCTGAATGTAGTGATCATGTTTCTCAATGGATGGCACCCCCTCTTTCGCTACAACTGTTTAGGGCTCCACAGACAGGATAGCTGCCCTCCCCTGGAAAGTAGGAACT